TTTTACATGACTATGCAGCTGGAGCGCGGTAAACACTAGATCGGTAGGTCGGGAAGCCACGAACTCCTCAAAGGCCGAGGGAAGCTGGCATTCCAGCAGGGTGTACATTACCGGTTGCAAGGGCTCTAAAAGTTGCCCTAAGGAATCCAACACAAACGGATCTGACCCCAAGGGGACGGGTACATCCTTGACTTATTGCTTGCCCGCTCTCTTCTAGGCAACTGTGATCGCTCCCGCTCCTTTGCGCGAGCTCCCAATGGCCGCCAAAGTGCCAAAGGGGCCCATCAGGGGCATTCCGAGCAAGTGACGAGGTAAGGCTAAGTTATCTCAAGCATCACCCCGAAGCCTTCTGGCTTCGACTTCGTTTCCTCCTCAGCGGTCAATTGTTTCCTTTTCTTGGTCAAATGGCCCATAGCTTTCTGTTTCATGGCACGAGCAGCCACGGGCCAAGGAGCTTCTTCGCGTCGCTTTGTGGGTGGTCGTCTTTTGGCACCTATCTGTATCCCTCATGTGGGGATGGCACTAGGAGCAGTTTGGATGGCTTAGTCGGGTTGACCTAGGGGAATACAAACCCCCCCACCTTTATAGGTGGCTTTAGAACCCTTGGTGGCATGGTCGATGCACGCTATGAAAATTTGTTAGCAAAAAAGTCATTTTTGGTACAAGGTTAAAAGTTCTTCTGGATACGAAGATACTTACGTGCTGGAGCTTCCAAAGATGCCTCAAGCTGAAGAATTCGTGTTTTCGCAAGTTGGTAGTGGTCAGGGGCAGTTTTGCGTCACGACTCTGATCGGGTAAACAACCAAATGCCATGATACGGCTAAAATTTGCTAGATTTGACAACCTGGTCATCTTGTTCTCTGTGAAAAAGAAAATTTTCATTAGTCTTAACTACCAAAAGAGAGTTAAAGGAAAAGATAGTCAGTTTAGAAAACAAAGGGGAAAACCTATTCGGCTCCCTAAATTTACAAACGTCATCATACTCGAAGAAAAAATATTTGGTGTCATAAGCCGTAAATTGCTGGGATAACCAAATGTTCCTCCTTCGATCGTAGATCGTTTCGAGAGATAGAAGTAATTCTTGTCATTGCTTTTCTTTAAGTTGTAAGTGCATGCGAGTTCCAACGCTGTTAACTCACCAAGTTTATGTTTGCGGCATGTGATATACATAGAATCGCTATCATATACGCATTGAATGTCAGTTGGAATGGCGAGACCTCGATGTGGTCAAGGATCATTCTGATGAAGGGGTGAAAAGGTATTGTCACCCCGCATTTGAAGATTGCCTCTGAGATCAAAGCTATTCCCTCTAGAGGGTCCTGAGCGGTGTGCGACCTATGCTGGTAGACGTTTACATTGATCACAAACTGGTCTACCACCTTTTGAATCTCATCTGTAGTGGCTGCTGATAGCACCGCCCGTACGGGACCCGTCAAGGTGCTTGGGGGCTGCGAGTTGGTTCCAGCAGTTGCTCTAATCTCCAAAGCGTCCATTGCTCTAAAAGTCTGAAAAGGTGCGACACGAAGAGGTAACTTAGTCTCTGTAGGCAGTGTTTCGTACGACGACTTGAAAGAGTAAGAAAAACCCTAATTTTCCTTCCTTAGCCCCTAAAAACCCTAAACATCCTTGAGAACGAGTTCCCAAGGATCGGTGCCATAGGTTTTCGATTCTTAAGAGTGTTCCTTTTTTAACACTATCCAAGAATGTGCATCATCTAAAGTTTACCAAGCTTTCAAACCCACCATTGCTATGAAAAAACTGAGTTTTTAATAGAAATGAAAAGAAGAAAGGGAAGAGTATTCCTTACCTCTTGATTGCTAGGGATGAACGTTATGTCATAGCGGTGAGTGCGCATCAACTAGAAGAAGGGTGAACTGGTTTTTTTAGTGCAAAAAACTTTGTTTTTTCTCTTTGAAGATTTGAGTTATGTGAAAATCGTGAAGTGGAGTTGGGGTTTTATAGGGAAGAAGGTGAAGTTTGGTTTTCTTTGCAAGCGATGTTTAGGCGGGATGCGTTCCTAGCCGTTGGATGTGACCACGTGTCGCTGATCCTCGTGAAGGTAACCTTCACGCTTCATGAAGATCAATCGACGTTTCCCTTCGTTGGAGACACTGAACGTCAGCGTGGTTATCTTCACCACATTGAATGCGCCTTCATCCACATTTAATGCTTTAAAAGAGAATTTTGTTTCAGCATGACTCTCATTTAATGCTCATGGCTGACACTTATTGCGCAAAGACACATCTGTCAGATAAATCTTACTTTATTGATCAGGCCAACTATCAGGCGCAATGGATAACATCTGAAGAGGTCATTCAAATGAAACACTCTTCTCCGTGTACTGAGCTTGAAACGAAGTGATCTCCGATTTTCGGTGAGAATTTTCTAAGTTTTTTCAGGTCAAGAGCAATGGGCAAAGTTCAAAGCATGTTGGTATAGCACTAAGCAGGATCTGACCCCAGGTCGCTAAACCATTAAGGGATGTTCATCTCAGGTCGCTTGTGAAGTTCGCCAAGCCCACATCGTGACTTACACTTAGTTCGTTGGTCGAGTAAAATCATGAACTTCATGTTATTTCAACCGTTCTCCACTTGCAGCTCGAGCAAGTGATCCTCGAGATGAGTCAAATCATAGCATAATCATGAAATTCTCAAAGTTCAAGCCTTGAACCTTATGAACTGGGGGGCTTCTGTTATGCCTAAAAAATCAAGGCTGACGAGGGCTTACGTCGGCAATGACCAATCAGAGTTCAAGAAGACATTGTGTCGTCCAGGTGCTGCCACGTCGTCTAAGGACAAAAGAAGTAAGGTTGTCATCATCTTGACAGGTAAAGGCTTGACGGGTGAGTGGCTGGGAATCTTCCACTTGTCCAAGCTCTACGTGATTTAAGGATATCTTCCGTGCAACCAGCCAATAAGAAGTAGGGTAGGAATTGTATAGCACCTGCCCACTGGCAGACCCGTAATCATTACCCAAAAACCTCTTACTATAAATTGAGAGCTCCTCTCTCATTTTTGGGGATTCTAACTTTGATAATATAAACTCTCTCTCTCCCTCTCTGTATTTCTGTTCTCTCTGATCGCTACATGCGACCTGTTTGTAATCTTTCATAAATAAAAAGACAGTGGACGTAGGATTCGTTGTGAGCATCTGAATCACTTTAAAAATTATCTCCCTTTTATTTATTTCATTTTTCAGTTTACGTGTAATTTCTAAGTCCGCTTAGCACTTTGCACGCGCGAATAGTTGGTATCAAAATCGAGCATCAACAGTTGTCATGATCTGTCCCAGAATGGTAATTATACATTTTAAATCTAAATGTTGTATCAAAATTTTAAACTAACATTCTAATTAACAAAAGAAATTAATGCAGCATATATGCAGGGGCAGACCCAGGCCCCTGCCCTCAACTTTTAAAAAAAATTTGCAAAGTTTTTTTCTGAAAGATTAAAAGAAAAAAGTTAAAAGTTAAAAAATGAAAAAGTTACATTTTGTCTTTTTCATATTCAACTTTTTCTTCCGTAATTCCCAACTTCCCTTTTACATGACGACTGAGCTCAACCTTGAACCAGAAATTAAAAAAATCTCCCTCTCAACTTCTCTCACTCATGTCTCCTGAAGGTATTGGTAACAGAAGAAATATTCCTATGGCCATTCTTTGCACAACATCGACAACATTTTTGAGCAAGTTGCAATACTTTATCTAGATTAAAGATCGAGATTTGCTGGTGGATTTGTTGGGTATGTATTATATAGTCATCCTCTCTTACAGATGTTTTTATTTATTTATTTTAACTCTACAATAATATTTCTATCGACAATTTACACAAAAGAATAAAATTTTCAGAATCTTGTATGAGAAAATTGACCAAAATTTTGTGTTTTAGTACAAAACTAACGTCATAATAAATGTACGTATGTCTTGATTTATGATTATCAAAAGTGAATATATAAAAATCCCCCTCTCAACTTCTCTCACTCACGTCTCTATCTCTCATTGGATGCAATTAAATATTTAAATGTATCATGTCTGGTATGTTAAATAGGTGTGTTAAATTAAAATATGTCTTATGTATCATTTATCATGTATTTAAATGTATCATGGTTTGTTCATGTATCTTATTCAAGAGAAAATTAAGTTGCTAAATTAATTAGTTATATATATATAGAAATCTCTTTCTCTCTTATTTTTTGGATCTCATTTTGGTACTAACTCATTATATGTTTATTGGATTTGGAATCCAAAACATTAACAAATAAATTATGATATCCAATTATTTCAAGAGACTGAAAAAAAGTCTAGCAAAAAATGTTGATAGAGACTCTACTGATATTGAGGTTAATCAAACCTCATTAGAAGAAAAAGCCCCACAACAACGACAACAACACCAACTAAAGAAGCTCAACCTTCAATCGGGGTGTTCAATTTAGATGAGCTTGAAACTGACCCAAGATTGAGGATACCAATTAACGAGCTTTGTTGTACTGACAAACAAAAAGAGAAAGTTCGAAGAGCATATTTGTTGAAAGGTCTTTGCCAACCTAAAGATCATAACTTTCATTTCACTCCTATTGGAGATAAAAAGCGTAGGTTTACATCAAAGTGGTATAAAGAAGGTTCACGTTGGATAGAATATAGTGTGGCAAAAGATACAATCTTCTGTTTGAATTGTTATCTTTTCAAACCCGATTATGGTGACCACATAAGTGGTGAAGTTTTTGTGAATAAGGGATATAATAACTGGAAAGATAAAGCAAAAGTGAAAAAACATGTTGGTGATCATTCTAGTACTCATAACTAATATTATGTCAAGTGTGTTGATTTGATGAACCAAAGGCAACACATCGATATAAATCTTGCTTGGGTGTCGAAAAAGGGCAAATTGGACTATCGCATTCGCTTGAATACATTAATTGATTGCATTAGATTCCTTTTACGTTAGGGATTAGCATTTTTTTGTCATGACAAGTTGGTTGAATCTGAAAATCAAGGTAACTGTATGGAATTATTGAAGTTTATATCCAATCACAATGATGACATAAAGAAAGTTATGTTGGGAAATGCTCTGAAAAACCATCAAATGACGGCCTCCAAAATCCAGAGGCAACTAACTAGTGTCTGTGCTCATTTGACGACCAAGAAAATTATTGCAAAAATTGTGAGAGATAAACAACCGTTTTCTTTACTGATTGATGAATCTCATGATGTGGCAGTGAAAGAACAAATGGCTATTGTTTTTCGCTATGTGGACAAAATAAGTTGTGTTATTGAATGTTTTATTGGGATTGTGCATATTAAGAATACTTCTGCAAAGTCTTTGAAAATTGCAATAGATGTCTTTTTTGTAAAGTATGGATTGAGTTTAACAAGTCTATGGGGCCAAGGTTATGATGGAGCAAGCAATATGAGGGGTGAGTTCAATGGTTTGAAGACTTTGATGTTGAGAGAAAATAAATTTGTTTTCTACATTCATTGTTTCTCTCATCAACTCCAATTGACGCTAGTTAAAGTTGTAAGTAAACATTCAGCATTGGGTGAATTTTTTTCAAACTCTTTCTATTTATCAAACACTATAGCAGCATCTTGCAACCGCAAAAATCTTTTACGTGATAAACTGTATGAATATGTGATATCATTGATTTCTAATTGTGATATTCAGATGGGACGCGGTTTGAATCAAGAATGCATTATTAAACAACCAGGAGATACACGTTGGGGTTCACACATAGGGACAATTCATAGTGTCATAAACTTATTTTCTTCTGTTGTTGGTGTGCTCAGAGTGATTGAGATTGAAGGAGATGATTGACAAAACAAAAGTCAAGCAAGGAGTTTATTACGAATCATGGAGTAGGGGTGTGCAAAAAAAACTGTTAACCGAATCGAACCAATCTTGAATTTTCGGGTACCAAAAAATTCGGGTCTGTTTCGGGTATTTATTATGTGATACCCAACTTTTCGGTTCGGGTATCGGGTATTCATTTTAAGAAAACCGGGTACCAGGTTTATTAAGAAATAAAAAAATAAAAAACCAAGTTTTTAAACCTATTTTCTTTTAACTTTCAAAGAGCAAGAGACAAAAGCCCTAAATCTTAAGTATTTAAGTTATTAAATTAAAAGTTAATTTAGTATATGGAAGAAATTGTATTCATAAATTGAAATTTGAAATGTAAAAAATTAAAATTCATACAAAGTTATGCAAATTCGGGTCATTAACCGAGTATCCGGTTTTTGACCCGAATATTCGAGTACCCGAAAAAATGGGTACCTTAAAAGCGGTTCGGTTTGCAGGTACTCTTTTAGGGGTACCCGAATATTCGGGTACCTGGTTTTTTTGGGCAAAACTGGTTCGGGTACCCGGTTTTGCACAACCCTATCATGGAGAATTTTGAATTCGTCTTTTTGTTATTCTTGATGAAGAAAGTATCGGGAATCACATATGAACTGTCAGAAGCATTACAAAAAAAAGATCTAGATCTTCTTAATGCCATGCAGTTTGTACAAATTTCGAAGCGTCAATTGCATAAATTGAGAAATGAAGACACTTGCTTCGACATATTGTTGAAAGAAGCTTATGATCTGTGTAAAGATAATGACATACCAATCCCGGAGAATATGGAAGATAATTTTGGGAGGACAAAACGAGGGATTGCGCCAATTACAAATATATATCATTTTAAGGTGGAATTATGTACACAGTTTTAGATAACATTCAAAAAGAACTCAATAATCGTTTTGATGAAGTAAATATGAGGTTGCTTCAGTGTATGACAACTCTTGATCCAAGTAACTCTTTTGCTGCATTTAACAAAGACATATTACTTGAGTTTGCAAAGTTCTATCCTGCCAATTTTCCTCAACACGATATTTGGTTACTCGATAATCAACTTGAAAACTATTATAAGGATCTTAGCACCAACGACAATTTCACTCATGTTGATGGGATTGCCGATCTTGCAAAAAAAAAATGGTTGAGTTTAAGAAGGATGTTGCTTACGACAAAGTTTTCTTGCTTATTAAATTAACACTGGTTTTGCCCATGGTTACTGCAACAGTTGAAAGGGTGTTCTCAGCAATGAATCTTGTTAAGAATACTTTGCGTAATTGAGTGGAAGACGAGTGGATCAACAATTGCTTAGTAGTTTACATTGAAAATGAAGTTTTTGCTACAATTCAAAATGAAAATATCATTGAACATTTTTAAAACATAATGAAGCGGAAAATCGTGTTACATTGAAAATCTTCAGTTATACTATTCTAACTTGCTTTCATCTTTAAATAATCAATATTCATATTATTTAGATCTTTAGGTATACCATTCTAACTTGATTTTTGGGTCAATATGCAGAGGATGTGTGGATCTTTAATATAGACGGTCGAGTTAGAATGTTAACGTCTGGATCTGGATTTAGAGTGATTGTAATCCATCTCTTTGTAAACCTTTGTGTATTTTACTTTTGTTAGAGTTGTGATTGAGCTCTAAATTTGTGTAGAATATTTTTGGTGGATTTGTGGTTGTTGTAAACTCTTTTGATTATATTGGATTTAAGTGGATTGTTAGATTCCCGTGGTTTTTTTATTTCTTCACATTGAAGATGTTTTTCCACGTCAAAATTTTCTTGTGTTTTCTTGTGAATTGGATGTTATTTTCTTATGTTTTCACTACTTGATTGGCAAACAGTGGCAGAGCGACGGGGCCCCTAGGTAAAAATCCTGGGTCTGCCACTGCATGTATGTGAAGGCAAGGCCTACGTATCTATTACCTACTCTTCCTTGTTACAGTAAGGTTGTTTGGATTCATCAGATAATTAGTCTCCATTCTTAAGGCTTGATGCAGTTGATGGCAAACTGAGAACTAGTCAATTCACTACGCAGTGGCTGTGCAGTTTCGGCAATAGATTGTTTTTAGCCAACTGAAAGTCAACTCAAAATGGCATCCCCACCCCCCAGCTAAAGCTCTTAAATAAACACAACAAAGACCCAACACGTAAACTTCCTGATAGGTGAGACTACTCCATTTAGAATCCGACGGGGCAACATCACGTCGTAATTAAAGGATGGGTGTTTATATTACTACAAAAATCTCAACACTTTTCTTTGGGATTTTAAAAGATGTAACCACTCACAAATAATTTAAGATGTATACATATGATGAATGTTAGAACATGCAAGTGTCGGAGATGCATGGAATGATAGTTTATGGAATCGTACAATTGAAATTTAATGAAATAAAGTAAGTATTGGCACATTCTGGTCCCTGCAACAAACTCCCTGTGATATAAATTAAAATCTGTTTCCTCGAATACGCGGCCCATGAATTACTTATCAATTTCACGATGCATATTTACAATCTACGTACCCAAAAAAATACAAACACCATAACTTGGTCGTACATTAACCGTTGCAGTTGGCACGTCCAGGCCTGGCCTGGCTACAGAAACTTGCAATTCATAGCATACATCATAAATATTGATAATAAAACTATAAAAGTGCTAGGTGTATGAGCATCTGTAATGCATTTATAGTGGAAGATGTGGTCCCATGTCCTTTTGGCCCACACCAACTTAAGGGATGGGCCATTGGCTGTTATACTCAGTGGCCAATGCGTTCTGCAATCTGGAGTTGAACCATTTTTGTCGTATTTTCCTTTACTACAAGTGGGTCATTTTCATTTACTCACGGAAAACCCGAGAATCGTATATATATATAGCTAGGCTGTTTAAACTTTAAAGGTCGTAAAATTGTTTCTGCGTAGTAAATTTGTATTAAAAACTTGAGATATGGTAATGGAATCTGTATTTTACTATATACTTCCAGTACGGTAGTTTTAATAAAATGATTAAATGAAATCTTGGGGTCAGTTTATTTTGTTAGTTTGGATAGGATTTTGAGAATGATATTTGATAGTTGAATAAGGTGAGTATTACGAGGTAAAATTTAAAAATTCACAAAAAAACCTCTTAGGTTTGCTAATTTAACTGAGCACCCTAATATATAAAAATTTTGTAAAATGATAAAAACACCCCCACCCATCCACCCACAGTACAAGATTCTAGTCACCACTGCAGGAATCTGGCCGAAAAATGGCGTTACGACGCAAACCGGTTGGATCTGGCCGGTCGTGCATCGATATGGCCTTTTCCAGCTAGATCCACCACTGATCTGGCCTTTGATGGTCGCAAAAGACCAGATTTGGTAGTCAGCGACGGCCAAAGATATAGTTGTCATTGTCAGTCAACGATGGCCATTATCCAGTGTAGATCTGATCGAAAAAGGTCAGATCAGTGAATTACCAGCTATTTTTTGGTCGTTTCTACGTCGTTGTGACTGATTTTGGCAACCACCGAATCTGATAACTATAGGTGGGTGAGGGTGTTTTTGTTAATTTTTAAACTTTTTTTCTAGAAGATGTTTAATTAAATTAATAAACTTAAAGGGTTTAAAAGTAATTAAAAAATAGAATAGTATTTCTCAAATAATAAAACAAATAAGTATTTTGATAATATGATTTGGAATATGGGTATGAATAACAAAACAAAACAGAGCCTTGAATATTCATATTCTCCAATTACCGTAGCTCATAAATTAAGTGCTGCAGTTTTTTATACTAAATCAGTGTTAAAAGTTTTCTAATATATACTTCAACATCAATGTTAATATCTCCCAATAAATACGTGGCTTCCAAAATATTATAAAAGCATATGGGCCACAAGACATTGATGGGTAGAAAAAATCATTCATGACATAACAGAATTTTCCAATCAACTTCTACCAACTGCAAAACATAAATTAAAAAGATGACATACGACCGAATAATACAAAACGAAAACCAAATAGACATCCTCAAGAAAGAAGCCAAGCAACCATTGCATTTTGTTTTTCATAGTCTTTATCTTCCAACTTGTTACTCTCTCCTTCCCACAACCAAGTTATAATTTCATCTTTTTCATTAAATTGCTCATCATGCCCTAGAACAACATTTTCCCAATCCCAGTCAATTCTAACATCATCAAAACAAGAAGAACTACCTAGATTAACAGTATTACTCTCCGCCTCTTCCCAGCTGCCTGACAAACCATTTGAACAACTTAAATTTCTATCTTCTATCTCCCCACTGAAATTCAAATCCATTAAACAATTTTCTCTCTCTGCACTCAAGGTCAAATCCCCATTTGGATCTAGTAGTCCGTTGTCCATAACGTCATTAAAACACAGCATCTCACCATCAATGCCTTCATATGGTCCTAATATTTCAGTCTCTTTCTCATCACCAGTAGCGCACAACATTGAATTACCAATTGGTCTGTCCTCGCTAGGGTATAATACTTGCTTCTCTCTCTCGTCAATTGAACCCAACATTTTTTCTACAGTAGTCTCTCGATAAGGACTCGGCAAAGCCAGGTTTACAATCTCCTCGTCTTCTTCGAAAGGATCCAAAACCAAGCAACCTTCGTTGGCACAAGACCATGTCTCTTTCTCTCTGATTAGTGTGGCTGGCAGGGGTATAACTTCGTCGACCGAAACATTTTCGATGTTTCGCTTTGTCGAAATACTTATATCTTTCTGGATATAACTTTTGTTCTTCTTCATTGCCCATCTACTTGTTCTACCCCCTTTTCGTTTGGTTGTAATAGCGTCAGGCTTGGCCACATCAGCTGATATGATCCCTACTGTTTTGCCAGAAGACCTCCAGAAAGTGTGAATTTTTCTACTCAAATGGGAGTTCCAATAATTCTTTATCTCGTTATCCGTTCTTCCTGGTAAATGGCTTGCTATCAAAGACCACCTGAAGGGAAATCAGAAGTGTTAACTGTTAAGCTTCTTGACTTTTCATACGTCTTACTTGGTTACTCTATGATGCAAGAGCAAAACAGTACACTCAGGTTTACCTTTGGGAAAAAGGGTGAAAAAAAAAAAAAAAAAAAAATCAACTTAATTCACCGGGGTCCTTATTATTTAAACGTCCCATTCCGTCAAAAGAGAACGAGGGTGAGTGTACTCCCCAACTTACCGGCCAAATTCTTTTTAAACTACATTATCGTTCATTAATATTATTTAAAATTTAAGGAGATCATTTCTAATTTAAAAAAGTATCTTTTATATAAATAAAAAATATCTTTATTAATTTTTAAATATAAAGAATAAAATTTTTATTTAAATTCAATAGACTCTTTCAATTTTAATTTTAACAGAGAGCATATATTTTAAAAAAAGAAAACTTAATAGAAGAAATAAATTATAAATAAAATACATAGAACCTTTTAATTTATTATTTAAAATTAGAATAGAGAACGAAATTTGACTCTCTAAATATGAAGAGTCAAACTCATTTTTTAATTTATTTTTAAAGAATAAAGAGTTTATCAAACTCTTATTTTTATGTATAAACTCTTTATAATAAAGAGTTTTAGTTATATAAAGGTTTTTTTATAAATATTCTTATACTTTAAAACTAAACGAAGACGTGAAACAACCTCTGCTTTACTAGATGAAAAGTGATAGTTTCTCACATCAATTATTATATCATTAGTATTTTAGTTAACCGACAAAGTAGAAAGTCTCCTTTTTATATTAATGTAATATTATTCGAATCCAAGAGTTAATATAGATATAATAAATCTAAAAGGTAGATATACTAAAGTTTTTAATTCGTTGACATGTAAGAAATGTCAGCATTCTAAATACTAAAATGAAAGATTTTCAGATTGGAATTAAAAGATTAAAAGATGGATAAAAGTTAACAGGTGTATTATTCTACGTATATAAACAGTGTGTTAATTTCTCTTTGTTACTCTGTTTGTAACAAGTATATATTAACGAGAAGAAAAAAAAACTAAGAAAAGAAATAACATACTGCTAGTAATATTGGGGTTTCACAAAGATTTTTTTTTTCCTAGGAATGGAAGAGGAAACTCACCGGTTTCCCAAAGAAGCATGCAACTTAATGATGGTATCTTCCTCTTCTGGAGATATGCTCCCCCTCTTCAAGTCAGTTCTCAAGTAGTTTATCCATCGCAGTCTACAACTCTTTCCGCATCTCAATAACCCTTTAAACGCCGGACCACCATCAGAAATTAAAATAAATAACGTTAAAAAGTCAAATAACGAGCAAATAGAAGATCAAAAGTGAAGTCCACTTCTGTGAACAACATTTTTTTTACCTGCATTCTTGGGAAGTGACCTCCATGACCCTTCTCCATTTGTTTGAATATACTTCATCAATATCTCATCCTCTTCTGCTGTCCATCTCCCCTTCTTTAATCCCACTTTTTCACAACACGGTGCTCTCCCCATGATTCTAGATATACATAAACTACAAAGAGAACAAGACGCAAACCATAAATGCGAATGGCCAAGCGTAGTTTAAAACGCTAAGTGGAGAGAAGGCAAGTGTACTACTGTGAGCAAGTTGATGTAGTAGTCAATGTATTCAGGTAAGGTAACGAAAGGTAAAGCTGCAGGTTGAATTTATATATGAAGACAATATAGATGTGGGACACTGGAGGGAGATGTTTATGTGGTGAGAGATTGTGCCACGCGTGCTCCAAAGTAAAGACCACGGTCGTGGCATCTCCACCGTCGAGAGCCTCCTGTGGGGATTCAATCCCCCACGTCGATACCCTTATGCCAAAAATATTTTGTCCCTTCGTTTCTGTCTTTGTTTAAGACTGAACCCAAAGCTTTCTTATTAGCTTTCATTGCTTCATCTACACTAGGTACTTGAATTAACCGCTTTTTGCGTCTTTTTATTTGAGACTTAAGAGTCAATCGAAAAGAACTTCACAGAAAGAATTAATTCTTTTGAAAAAATATCTCATTTGATATTTTACAATTCATCAACTCTGTAACAATTGGAGCAAAAACATACCAGGAGCTCAATTAATATTATGGGACGCCTTCCCTTCAATTATAACCAGAAAGTAGTATGATAACCCGCTTCCAATGCTCAATTTAAGTTTGGGTACGGCTCATAGGTTATTTCATAAGCTGTTGTAAGATTATTTGAAAATATTACAGCCCAATAATTCGTTAACGTACGGTAATTAATTGCGATCACTTAAATTAAATCATGCACATTGTAATCGTTGACAGGCGGATATACATCGCCATCACCTCAAAACTTGAATATGTGCCACTATACCTAATAAAGTTGCTTCTCGACATATCACGCCAATTAATTGCAAAACACAGAAACGTATCTGTTACTGCTTTTTCAATTTTAAAGTGCGTTCCAGTGCTTTCTAGGCATGGCAAATTGGCAATGGTCCCTGAATCCCAGGGAACGTCCCGCCCCGCCTTATATGGGCCGGTGAAGCCCCAGTTTTTTCAGGGATAGGGGCGGAGGTGGGGGGTGTTAATATAATGCTAGCATTATATATGATCAATCATACCCTTTGTAACTAAGCAAATGTTTCCATTTACTGCCAAAAAAGCAAGTCTGCTATTTGTTTTTCCAAGAACAAATAATGGAAAATAGAAAGAAAGCATATTTGATCATATATCGTTTACAAAATCAATGGATCAATAATAAAAATTAATTTTCAAAAATAATTTTTCAGTTGTATGCATTGCAGCATCGTTCAAACAAATTGATGAGATATCACACCACAGTGCTGGATGGTGATCCAGCATTCTACTTTTCTAGTGGCCCATTTTTTTGTATTTGGCATACAATGTTCATCATAAAGCCGCGTGTTTCCCCAGTACCACCCATCTTGTTTGTTTGTTTCTTTTAAGATATATATATATAATATAAAATAAAATTATCTACCCAATTATTAGACAGTTACATGACATATCGTGAAAATCCCTCGTTTATTTGTACACACGAGAATGATAGAATTAGCATAACGTCATTTTGCTTTCAGCTTGAATACGAGGCTTAGGTATTGTCGTCAATCGTAAAATTTAAAAATCTTATCCATTAGGGGTCATTTAAATCATATAATATTTCATTATAGGGGATATTATAATAACAGAATAAAAAATTATCTTACAAATTACTGAAAATATTTAGAAAATATGTATGGTTGGTTCGAAAAAATTGGTGAATAATATGTTTGGTTTACAGGATAAATGGGTGGGTATGTTATATAGATTACTAAATTACCCTCTTTTTTAAATATTAATATATTATTATTTTTTGAATAATCTGTTTTAACCCCCTACTTTTCAAATTTTGCAAAAACACCCTAGCAACCAAAAATATTTTAAACTTAACAAAAAAACCCCTACCCACCCCAAGTCATTGCTGGCAGCCAGCCACCACGGTCGGCGTTTGCCAACAGTGCCACAAATCTGGCCATGATGCCAGCAATGCCATAGATCTGGCCATGGCCGTTTCATGACCATAGATCTGGCTGTTTTCAACCATGGATCTGTGATCCATGGTCCGAAAAGGCCTCATCGACGCACAATCTGCCATATATGGTCGATCGTACGCCATTATGGTGACTTTTGGCAGTCTTCGACGACACTCCACAATGGCTAGCAGTGGTGGCTGGTTTTTGGGTACAATGGCATTTTTGTAAAAAATGACAATAACAAGGGCAATATCGTCCAAAAAATTTAAAATGTGAGGACAAAAGGGTTTGCATGAGTGAATTGGGTGTTTTGTAAATCTTAACAAATATAAGGCTAATTTGGACCAAATGCTCAACTGTTTAAGGGTAACATGGGAAACAAAATTAGATTACCTAGAATAAGTTTTAATTACTTCTCCCCCCACACCCCCCACCCCCCCAACCAAAGGTATTAAGATTCCTGCCAATTTATCCCCCAAATGTCACTGTTTGTTATAAAATATTTCGGGAATAATTTTTTACAAACTAAGCAAACATTGTCATTTGCTCAATTTTAAAAATATTACCCCAATTATCTAATATTAACCCTATCCAAACGGCCCTTAATGTATGGAATGTTACCCTAAATCTTTATAGCTTTGCACCCTCTGGTTTTAGATGTAATTCAAACCTTTTCCTCAAACACACTCAGGGGCCGTTTGGATCGAGTTGATGTTATATAATGGGGGTAATATATTTTAAATTGGGTAGATAACCATGTTTGATTGTTTTGTAAAAAAAATTCCTGGAAAAAAAATGTCAAACAGTGCCAAATTGGGGGTAAATCGCTGGGAATAATATTACATGGAGGGAGGGTGTTATTAAAATATTACTTCCGTAATCCAAATTTTTGTCCAATTTTGCCCCAAAACAGTGGACAATAATGTAGACAAAAATATCCTTGGCTTTGTTAATATTTACAAAACACCCAATTTGCACAAGAAGACGAATTTGTCCTCAATTTTTTAATTTTTCGAACAAAATTGCCCTACTTATTATCAATATTTTCATAAATGCCACAAAATATTGGTGTGCCCATATTATTCTCACATATTTGCATATTGTGACCAATATGCCCTTTTATTTCACTAAAAAATTCTTAGCCCTAATATACATTTCGACCGAGACTCTGCCCTAAACCTCCATCGCCGCCACTGGTCTTCTTCTTCTCGAGCTTGTTCGCGACTTCATCACTTCGATCGCCATTTTCCGGTAAGTCAAATGCCCTATTTCCATTGTATTTTTCATTTTGGGTTTGTTTTGCGTTCATTAGTCTAAGATCTTGCTCTTGCCTCTACCGTTGGTCAACCATCTTCGCCGCAGCGCCTTGGGTCTTCGTCTCCATCCGTTTGATCCAGACAGCACTCCATTCGCCATTTCTGGTAAGTCCCTCGCCCTCTTTCCATTGTATTTTTTGTTTTCTGTTTTGTTTGCGTTCGTTAGTCTAACTTCTCTCTCTTCCCTTTGCCGTTGGTCGACCATCTCCACTGCAACAACCTCGAGTCTTCGTCTCCATTTGTTTGCTCCCGACAATGACTTAACAATAAAATACTTGGCTAAAATATAAGAAAATGAATTTTGTTAATTGATCATTTCTTTTATTAACCAAACACCTTAGTTGTTTATTTTTAGTAATCGTATAAAGGACATTTTAATAAAATGTAATCAAGACATCTACTCTTACAACCAACCAAACAAATTAATTAGTAATATAATTAATCATCCCAATGGCATTCTAGTAAAAAGGTATTTCAGGACTAATCATCCCAATGGCATTCTAGTAAAAAGGTATTTCAGGACATTTGTTATTACTGCAACCAAACACATTAATTATTAATATATCTCAATTGAACCAAGCACAATAATAATTTAAACCCGACAATATACAATGTAATATTTCTTTCCAGTAATCTTATTATAAGATAAAAAAACATTATATGATCCAAACGCCCCCCAATAAATTCTGCCATTTCACATATATATATATTGAATTAAAAATCATTTCAATTAATATTTATATAAAAATCCAAGATAGAACAACACACCACTCATTCACTCACCTTCCACCCACCGAAGCAATCCCACCATCCTGAAGCCAAATCCCAAAACCATTATATTCCCTCAAGTGTATGATAATTGAAAAATCCTATAATTTTATAAGGAAATTAAAGGCAACTGTTTTTAATGTAAACATAACAACCTCTTTTAAGTATGGGATTGAATTAAATCATAGATTGATATGATAACCAATCACTATAGTGTTACAATGTTATCAGACTTGAAATTTGGGTTGGGCTGAAAGTCCAAACCCAAACAAAGATTCCTGAGATAACATTAACCTATCGCTAACCAAAATCAAAACCCACCTAAGGTTTTGAAAATATTAGAAATTCACCAAAAATTTGACAACCATGTATCAGAATTAATATAGAAAAGGTAAAATAATCAAACTACCTCTACTATAAATAAATCAATTAATTAAAAAAGAAGCTTAACACCGCCACTTGACAAGCTCACGTGGCAGATAACTATTGGTTGAAACAACCACTAGCTCACGCTGATTGGCCAATATCTACAAGGAACACGTTGCAAAAGTTAGTCGCTAGTCAAGTCGTTGCCTTGCCTCCTACTTCGTGTTAAACTCCACGCCCAGTTTCAGGGACTCTAGACCAGGGAGAAACAAAAGAAGGAAAAAAAATAAAAAAACAGAATAATAGAGAGAGTGAGAGGAGTTTTAGCGAAGAATTGTGATCTCTTTTGCATTCTTGATTTATAGATAAGAACATATTCTCAAAATTTCACAAGATCTTAAATTAAACCCTAGATTCGTATTTTTGGAGGGATTTTTAACTCTCTCCTGATCCGTTTATTCATGGCGCATCAGAGGAAAAAGCTTTTGTTCCTACTATGCGTTCTTTGTTACGCTCTTACCACCATTTCCGGGTACTAATTCTTTTAAATGTGTATCACTTTTTTTCTCTTTCTGAAAAATGTCGCGGTTAACCTGAAATGTGTATTTTGAATTGTTGCAGGAAGAGCTATTATGAGATATTGCAAGTACCGAGGGGAGCATCAGACGAGCAGATCAAAAGAGCGTATAGAAAGCTGGCATTGAAGTATCATCCTGACAAGAACCAGGGCAATGAAGAGGCTAACAAGCGATTCGCTGAGATTAACAATGGTAATTTTTATTCTTGTTTAATTTTGTTATGATATATATTATTTGGAATTTGGAAATAATAAATTTAAAATATTTGGCCGGTTAATAGCTTACGAGGTTTTATCCGATAATGAGAAGAGAAATATATACGATAAGTATGGAGAAGAGGGGCTGAAACAGCATGCCGCCAGTGGTGGCAGAGGTGGAGGCATGGGCGTCAACATTCAAGACATTTTTAGCTCGTATGTCATTTTGTATCCTTTCATTTTTTCCATTCATTCAATCGTGAAAATTTTCTATTATTGCGTTACCTAAACTTTGTATTAATATGTAACTACTAAAACAAGTAATCACTGAGAAGGAATTTCTTTACTTTAGGCTGGAGTTTAATTATCAAGTGCGCATTTACTGCAACATTTTATTGTATGGAATCTGTGGTCTTTTGTGCTTAGGTAAATGTCAGAAGTGCAACTATAACTGTATTAAGCACATAGCTTTATCTATGTATCAACCTTCGTTATTAGGTCTTTGAACATAACTGTACATAGTACCAAATCATTGCTACCAAACATAATTCGGATTTATCCTAAGTTATGCTAGATTTCTAGAATGTATTTATTTCTTGTAAACTAACATCATTTTTCTGTTGTGCATTTTTTTTCACAAGTAGTAATTATATTAACAAATGTAACAGTAACACTATTAAATTTTGGTTCAAGAGTCTTTCATTGCTGACAAGATGATGCTTTTTACTAGTTTTTTTGGTGGAGGTCCAATGGAAGAGGAAGAAAAAATTGTTAAAGGTGATGATGTGATTGTTGAGCTGGATGCAACACTAGAAGATTTATACATGGGAGGTTCACTGAAGGTAAGAATTTTGCATGTACAGGGGATTTGTTAGCTGCCATAAGAACAGTCTAAAAAGATCTGTTGGTCTCATATAATGTAAGATATAAAGTTGGTTATAATTTTTATTAAAGAAATTTGTCTTGTGCGTATGTGAATGTTACATATCTAACACCTTGTCTGAGGTTTTATTGGTGGGACAAATTTTTATTTTTTATTTTTTATGAAGCTAGAAGATAGATAAATGACACTATTAGAAAATTAAAGGGAATGTAAATTAGTTAATTTTTTGTTTGTTTCCAATTGTGATATTTGTGGGATTCACCAGGTTTGGCGGGAGAAAAACATCATAAAGCCAGCTCCAGGCAAGAGACGGTGCAACTGCAGAAATGAGGTGTATCACAAGCAAATTGCTCCAGGGATGTTTCAACAGATGACTGAGCAGGTATATATACCTCTTGACAGTTTTGTAGCAAGGCTTACGAAATTTTATAATCTGCCAAAGCAAAAACATTGTTGGACACATTGCTTATTAGAAAGTTTGGCTTTTCTTTCTTATATATTCCCAGCTTTGTTACATTCTCTATTATTATCTTTCAGGTCTGTGAGCAATGCCAAAATGTCAAATATGAGCGGGAGGGATATTTTATCACAGTTGATATTGAAAAAGGGATGCATGATGGACAAGTAAGTTTTATACCGTTCATTTTTTATATGTGAGATCATTTCTTGATGTGGAATTTTATCCTATGGGGCATATAATATTGTTGTTCCCTTTTCTTTTTTCTCCTACACACCCACCCACCCACACACCCACCCACCCACACGTATATGCCCCTTTGAGTCCAAAGTCCAGCCAGTATCCTTTTCCCCAATGCATGAAACTTAATGATCTTGCCCTGGGAAACTTTGGAAGAGTTGATTGAAAGCAATGACCTTACTGTGCAGCCCATTCACCCCCCTCCCTACTCTAGTGCATTATCATTTATCAAATAGAAAAGGCAATTAGATTCTCTGCTCAGCTAAAACGCTTGAGGGATACTCAGAATGATGAAAGCTGTACACCTTGTTTGTTTACTTATGATGTCTTTCAGTTGTAAAACTCTCCTGATTTATTTCTGCTTTTTTACAATCTTGTATAAATTGAATCCAAATTCATGCATCTCTAGTCCACAACTAACAGGAACTTTTCTTTCACAGTATCTATTAAAAGTCAAGACAGTTACTTTTTACTTTACTATTCTTGTGAGAAGTTGAAGTTTGCCTTGTTAGACCATAATGACACCTTCTGTATGAGCGGATTGTTCACTTTATAGGCTTGCACTCTGGTGGAATATATATGGGCTAGTATCAGTAGCATTTTTTATTTACAAAATTTGTAACAGAAGTCGTGAATCATTAGTTCAACACATTTTTATTTGTCTGTGTAGATTTAACATGTACCATTCACAAGGCACATTAATACGTCTTCTTAGATGTAATTTCAATCATTCAATAGTTCAAAAGTTTGCTAAAGTTTGTAGAGAACATGAGGTGCTATTATTCGTGCCCATTTATTGTTTTTGTATTTTTCACTAGCCTTTTTTTAATTCAAATGTGTGTTTCAGGAGGTGGTTTTCTATGAAGATGGTGAACCAATAATAGATGGTGAACCTGGAGATCTGAAGGTTAGTGTTTAACCCTTGTTTCTAATTTGTCTGTTATATTCACTTTGCAACAGATGATAACTCTCACACTCTCTGCAGTTCCGTATTCGCACAGCACCCCATGATACCTTCAGAAGGGAAGGAAATGACTTGCATACAACTGTCACTATTACACTGGTAAATCTCACTTCTAGTAATATTATTATCAATTTATATTTTGACAAGAGTAGGGGGTACTTATCTCTTTTTGAAGAGAACATCCAGTCTCATTGGAGTTCTTTTTCTTGCTTGCCTCCTTTAGGTTCAAGCTCTTGTTGGTTTTGAGAAGACCATTAAGCACCTTGATGAACATTTGGTTGACATTAGCTCAAAGGTAAGCGTGAGCATGACCTTTAAACCATTTGATCCGACTGTGGTTACTGATTAAATGAGCTGGGAGGGGATCAACTCTCAAACTTATTTGATGACATACTTTTGTTCCTTCTTCAGGGAATCACTAAGCCCAAGGAAGTGAGAAAGTTCAAAGGGGAAGGAATGCCATTGCATTATAGCAACAAGAAAGGAGACCTCTATGTGACATTTGAGGTTCTATTTCCCACATCTCTTACAGAGGATCAGAAGAAGAAGATCAAGGAAGTTCTTGGCTAGGATATAGAATTAAAATGTTTCTTTTTGGGTTCTAAGGTATTCCCAGTGTAACATGACAAGATTATATAGGAAAACCAGGAGCTAAGGTTTTACTCTCTCTCTTCTTTACCCCGTTTCCACCGTTCATTAACAAGTAGTGCAGAGCCTAAAGATGTCTTTTTGCTGTAGTACTTTCCGTTGTCTTTCATACTGTTGGCCTCCCTGGCATAATATTTTTTGCCCATATGAGCTATAATGAAAATTGCGAGACTAAAATTAATTTATTGTTCCCACTTCCTACTATAATCGGCGTAGTTTTTTTCAGTTTTACATCTACACTTAGGCGGCATATGCTTTGGAAGCCTTCTTCGCAAGGAATTGATTGCTTTGGACGAAATAAAACTGAAAGAAGGCAAAATTTCACCGTGCTTCAATACATGTTAGCTATATAACATATAAGCTTTGGTTCTCGTGGGACTGTGTTCATCTTCCGTTCTTCATGACGTTCCATAGCTATGAATTGGTTAAAATATCAATATAAAAAAGCTCCAGAAATTTAAAAAAACTGTAGCTTGTGAAAACAGAGCAGTGTGTTATTCTAACAAGAGAAACCCTGAGATAAAGCACGCATGCAGTAAAAGAACCTCACGGCTCAAGTATTTACTAGATTACCTCACTGCTCAAGTATTTATTAAACCTTAGCATACTAACTTGGTAGGAGCACCCCTTTCCACTTTACATACAAACAAAACAATAGTTTCTAAAAGGAAAAGAATCTGCATGGCTGATGGCACAACTATCCTCGTCTTCAAAACATCTTTAGGTGTCACAAATCAATCACTCTATTGATGCCAGCTTTTCTTCATCAACCTCAAATGCTTTTCTGTTGTTGAGCTCCCTTGCATTGACAGCAGTTCTGTACAGCGGTTAAGTTTCGGCAAATCCTGCAGGGTCAATGAATAAAATTTCAACCACCAAACTCCCCAAACACAATAGCAAGAAAAATACAATTACAATGTTACCACCCTCCCTATATCCAACAAAAGCAAAGAAATATCTCGTACTAAAATCTTTCAATATAAAAATTAATTACAGGGCTAAGATTCTTTTACGGTCTAGAAGAAATGGGCATTTGGGCACAAACAACAGGATTTTTATTCAGAGGAAGCTTATTGAAGGTGAATCGAAGTTTCTTATGTTGAATAAGAAGAAAATAATATGAAACCCAATTGGGAATATCAACTTCCATAATAAACAGGGAACTTAACAAGTCTCAGAAAGATACCTTCTGATTAATACAGAAAATCCTCAACTGATAACTTTCCCCTCTTTGATCCAATATCCTGTGCTTTATGTGCCTGTAGGAAAAGGGCATTATAGCTATCACACCTACCATGCATCTAATCAGAGAAAGTGAAAGTACTAATTGGAAAGAATGCATACCAAATCTGTGACATTCCACAACTATGTCCTCACAAGTGCCACAGTTTCTGGAAGCGGCTGAGTGACACAAAACAAGAAATTCATACATATATCAAGCTAGACAGAGGAAAAAAAAAAAAAAAAAAAAAAAAAGAGGAAAATGATACATACACATTCAAATCATTAATTTGACATCTCTCAACAACACAATTCAAGTGTCCTAACCGTTAGGAAAAAACAAAAGTTGAAGAGACATAAATCGCTACTTACATTAGGATCATCGCCAAAACCATACACCATGTGCTGCACTGCAGTACAACAAGTGCATGAATAAAACTACAAAAACAGCAATAGAATTCCACAAAAGAGGTTTCCACTAATATAAGAAATTTAAAACAAAAAGTTAAGGCATTTACTCACATCTTTTGAAAGACTCTCGCTTGCGCTTAAAAGAAGTTGTTTCATTAGCGGCGAGGATCCTGCTTTTGATTTTGATGATTGCCCAGCAGAAGAGTTGCTCATTTTGTGCACAATGTCTCTCCCTTCACTACCTGTCACAAAATCAATTGCACATCGAACCGTAAATACTATAGACTACAAAAATAACTGAATTATGTAATTTCAACAGTAATATTAATACCACATTCCCGTTTGTTATGCTAATTTACAAGCAGTAATCATTCTTCATCTCACTAGCTCTATCATACCTATAACTAAAACCCTACCTTCCTCCAAAATCTGCTATCATGTTCAAATTAAACAAACATCTACAATTTACATAAGACAAGAAAACAGATAAATCAGTTTTCTTCTATTTCTTAAATTAAATTGGTTAATTTCCAGAAACGGGAAAGAAAAATCAAAACCCTAGAAAAATTATCGCAATAAATCTTACAACATCAAGATAAATGGACAAGAACCGATATGACAATAAATTTGCTTGTATATCCGACTTCTTCTATCAAAGAAAGAACACGTGTATGAAAGAAACGCTTTTTTTCTTCTTTCTTACTTAAAAATGTATAAATATATATCCTGTATATTATAGATTACCGTAGAGTGCCGAGCTCCGAAACAATCGATTGAAGAAGTTTAAAGAGAGATTCAGTAAAGACTAAAAGCATCTGGATATTTATACCCAATTCTCTTCTCTATTCATGCAACGCCCCGTTTCGCCTTTTACAAATGAGGGTCATTGACTCATTGTCATGTAATCGAGATAATTGTATTTAGATAACCCCTTATTCTGACGGACGTTAACCTAAGTAGGGGTAGAACGGGTAGTTAACACATAGAAATCAAATTAAATAAGAAAGCCTAAACCTTGAAAACCTATCTTTTCCAAGTAATTCTAAATTGGTTTTTTTTTTTTTGGTTGGGTGGGGGCGCTGTGCTTTGTAAATATTGTTTTTTGAGTTTGATAATATTTGGCTTATTATTTCTGCCTATATTCCCAATCCTATTCTCCAAAATAATGTTTAGCACATTATTCCAAAAATATTATCCTATTTTTTTAATTACTTTTAGACCTCATAAGGTTATTAATTTCATTAAATACCCCCTGAAAAAAAAGTTTAAAAATTAGTAAAAACACTCCCACGACCCATACTTGCCAGATTCCGACAACCACCGTCGGTGGTAGCCGGAATTTGTACAACGGCCTCTCTGCCAACCAGAAATGGCCGGAAGTTCACCGATTTGGCCTTTTCCGGCCAGATTTGGCAGTCAACGACGGCCAAAGATGGTCGTCTTTTGGCATTTTTCGGCCATTGCAGCCACAGCAGGCCGTAGATCTGGCCTTTTCCGGCTAGATCCGTGGTGGATCTGGCCGAAAAAGGCCATAATGACACGTTACGATACAAATCCAACCGATCTGTGTCGTAACGCGATTTTTCAGCCAGATTCCAACGGTGGTGGCCGAAATCTGGCACTGTAGGTGGTGGGGGTGTTTTTATCATTTTATATATTAGGGTGTTTAATTAAATTAGCAAACCTATGAGCTTTTTCATAAATTTTTAAATTTTATCTCGTAGTACTCCCCTATTCAACTACCCAATATTATTCCTAAAATCCTATCTAAAATAATAAAATAAACGCACTCATTGGTGTTTGTGCAATTCGCCAGCAATTAGTGTAGACTTTTATGGTTATAAATTCTTTAATTTTTCTTAAATGTTAATTTTGTATATTTTATACTATTATTAGATTTCCAGTCAAGCTCAGATCTCTCTTCAAGGGTATTATCGTCTTCTGGTAAAACTATTGGTTAAGAATCAAGATTCCGATAATGCCCGCTAGTTTAGGGCGCGATTTCTAATTTTTGAAACCTCATGATCTGGACTTTAGACATAGTTGACGATAAACCCATTGAGGATTAAGTCTTTCCCTCTCGTATAATCCTTGTGAAATGAAAGGACCCCTTAGTTTATATACTAGTAAGAGTTTGTTTGACTGTGTTGATGAGAATTAACTTGTAAGCAGTTGGTATTTATCGTGCTTATAGGGTAATTTAAGCTTATAAACAGTTAAAATTTAAGCAATTATATGTTTGGTTAAAATATTTATAAGTGACTGATAAGTAATTGACGCGTTTGATAAATGTGACTTATAAATATATTTTAATATTTTATTATTAAAACAACTAAAAATGGTGTTACATTATTTTTACTATAATATTATCAAAATGTATTTTGATCATATTATAATATAATTAAAATTTTCAAATTAAATAAACAAATACTTTACAAATAAATATTTTATTAAAAGTTTATATGAATAATAAGGTTATATGATAAAATTTTAAAATTAAATAAGAATAATGTAGTAATATATTTGGTCAAAATATCTCTCAAACAGAGTGCTTATAAGCTAAAAAAAAAAAAGTTGGTTCCCCCAATTTATTTTTTTGGCTTATAAGCTCAAAAAAATTATAAACAAACAGATTAATTTGATTTTAGAGCTTATAAGCTACAAAGAACTAGAGGGACCTCCCTACCCCGCGACAGGTTAACTAGAGGAATGCCACGTGATCCAGGCGTCGGCTTTCAAGGAGGCTCGAGAGACCTTAAGAGGACATTCTCTTTCTCGAGCTTTCGTGGGTTACAAGATAGAATAGCACATCCAGCTTACTCTATCGACAGTCCAGCCAGCTGAAGGATCAAGGAAATCGGGATCAATTGCCTTTAAAAGGGGTCTTGAATCTCATGTCATCAAAAGTAGGCAGGCTTTGAACAACCAAATAAGAATCAGTTCAACTTTCAAGGGCTTTCGTCCATCTCTCGCCCTTAATTAATATCCCCAATTTATAATCAATTAAGCAGGGAGTGTTTGTTTGAGCTTATGAAAAATAGCTTATAAGGAACAAGTGCTTATAGGCTAATTTTAGCTTATAAGTATTTGAAATTTTAAGTAATTACGTGTTTGGTTAAAGTACTTATAAGTGACTGATAAGTAGTTGACGTGTTTGGTAAAATGTGGCTTATAAGTACATTTTATTTTAAAATAACTAAAAAGGGTACTACATTAAACAAGAGTATACTATGGAATTTTAAAATTAAATAAGGATAATGTGGGAATATACTTGGTCAAAATAGTTTATAAGTAGAATGCTTATAAGCAAAAAAAGAAAATAAAAAAATACCTCCCCTCAACTTTTTTTTTTTTTTTTTGGCTTATAAGTTCAACTTATAAGCTTAAAAAAATTATAAACAAATATGTCAGCTTAATTTTAGAGTTTATAAACTAGTTTAACTAGCTTATAAGCTTAGACAAACACCCCCTTATTCATATCTTGACTATTTTGTTTATTTCTTATATTATGTGTAATAAAAAAACTCAATTAGATGAAACGTAAATATTA